AAATTTTGATATTTGTTTTTTTATATTTTTAGCTTTTTTTATTTTTTTTATATTTTATAAAAATTTGTAATTTAATTTTGTAAATAAACAAATGTGTGAAGATAAAAATTTAGGGTTAGGTCGTTATGTTAGAGGCTATAGGTTGTCAATTTATTAGTGCACCAAATAATCTGGCGTATATTGTGCTCAAGATTTTTTTTTGTTATATCTAATTTGGGTGTTGTAGCTTAAGATATTGTTTAAATCTGTACAAATTCTGGTTTTTTTGAATTATGCTTTGTGTTCATTGATTTCAATTATGCAAATTTCAGTAAGTTCGTTCCAGGAATCACTTTTTAATCACCAGTTTGTTATTTCTGAAAACTTTTACTAATATTTTGTTGAGTTCGAAGGTAAGTTTAATTACGTTAAGTTGTTCAAGTTCGTTTATCATAATTAATAATCAGACACCTATTTCGAAAGAAATAAATGATGCTTTAGTTTCAAAATTAGCAATCTATAATTTTTTTTTTTTACCAGTTTGAGTTTCGAATAGGGACGAACTGAACAAGATAGCATCCCTAATAAATAATAAATAAGAATACGTATTACAATTCTTTATTTATATTTGCTTTGAAGTACGATATTTTTTTAAGATTACTGTATACCGAGGCACTGCACGCACATAGGCAATCGGGCGTACATATTGTGTCCCAAATTTTTTAGGTATATCTAAATTTGGTGGTTGTGACTTGAGATAGTCTGTACTATCAATTGTAAATGATAAATCAGAATAAAAATATTGCATGGCTTTATTTTATTACGCTTCAGAGTACGATATATATTGTGAGAATATTGTAACCGGGCCCTCAAAAAAGCATAAATTGCGTCCCAAGATTTTTAGATATTGTGTAAATTTAAATTTGTATAAATTTTTTGGTTCCTGTATTCTTTATTATTTAAGAAAGAAAAGAAAATCATTCAATATGAAGGTGAAATTAGTAGTTAACACTAAATCATATGGAGAAATAACATTAAATAGTCTAATTCTTTCTGAAGCTTATGATCAAATCATAAAACTAGACTCTAATGATCCTAGATATTGGTTTTTCTTTATTTTTAATGATGAAGAAGTTGGACAGATAAAGCTTGGTCCGAGAGACAAATTAATTAATTCCGATAAAAAGATAACTGATATCATCAGCAAAGAGAACGAACTGTTTGTGAAACGTGAATTATCAATTACTGTATATGATGGAAAGATGGTTAAATATTTTTCTTCTATTAAAGAACTTAATAGTAATCTGTCTGAAATCCGGGATGAATTGATTGAAAAAAAAATTCTATCTCCAAATTTTATTTTTTTAAAGAAGGATTCGGAAAAAGAGAATCTTGAAGAAGTTCAATCAAAATCTGAAATGTATACAGAATTAAAGGAAATTCTTAACAATGACGTGATACGTGTTTTACCGGATAAATTATGTAAGTTTGTACAATATAATTGATCAATTATTATTATTTATGTCTCCCATAAATCAAAAAGTGCACCGGAAAAGGTATTGGTATTGGTTCAAACCAGTGTTTAAAATAGCATAGTAAAATTTCGTTTTTTTACATT